CTCAAAGGAGAGGCCCTCCGCCCGAGAGTCGCTGGCACAAGCTGCACGAGGGCTCTGAGGGCCCCATCCCATGGAGAGACCCAGGGAGCCCTCGACGTCCTTCAGGAGCCTGCGGTACTGGGCCAAGTTGTAGGGAAAGAGCGGACTGCCTGCCGGGGTGGCCTTCGTGATGCCCTCTAGCACCTCCATGATGTCCCGGTCCTCCTGGAAGATGCGGGCCACCTGAGGCCTCTTGAGCTTGGTACCTGTTCTCGGAGCCAGAGCTATGGATACTGAAGCCGAGCCCATGTCTTCTCCTAGATCTCGAGGAAAGACTAGATCTGCAGGTAGTATGCCCAAGAGCTCCGAGGGCCGAAGGCCCGTGCGACACTGCACGATGAGGGCGAGACCCAACCGAGGATGACCTCTGGAGCCCAGGTGAACCCCCAGGAGCTTGCCAGGCAACTTTCCCAGTGGTACAGTATGTTTCCTGCCAGGCGTTTCTCTCCCATCCTGCAATCACAGCTTTGCTCCACAACAACTTGCCCCTCATTCGAGGGAAGAATAATTCAACAGACGCAACAGCATTGACGAACTTTGCTGGCGTGAGGTGTTCAATCTGATCTTTTTTGAACTCAACTAAGAGGTCGTCCCACTGGTCTGCACCGCTGGGGTGCAAATTGCGCTGGAGCGCCCAGGCTGAAAACTGCAGCCCAGCACTCCGATAAACTTCGAGAGTCTTCTCAGTCACTCTGGCAGCCTGATCGGGGTCGAGCCGACGCGGGCCTGCCCGACCCGAGCTGCCTTCTCCTGGACAACGCATCTGCTGTCTGATGTGCGGTGTCCACCCAGGGTAAGTATAGCTTGATGCCCGTCGCTACTGAACGTGCACCCACCTTGCGCAGCAAGTAGTTCAAATGCGGGGCCGACGATCGCCCCTTCGCCGCTGCTGCTGCCAAAGGCTCGTTATCCTCCATGTTACATATAGCGTGATCGTGGGCTCTCGCCAGGCACGAGAGGCCCTGGCACAACTTCACCACAGCTCGGCCTTCACCCAGGATAATATGATCTGGCTGTCACCACCTCCCCGCGCACAGGTCACTCCACATGTCCTGAGGGATCTGCAGCAGCTCACGCGGGATGCGCGAAACTGGAATGCGTCCCCTCAACTCCTTGTCCGCGCGGTTGAGATGGCCCACCGTGCCGTCGAGTCTCGAGATTGTGTGCCCAGGCCTAGTACCTGCACCGATCACCGTCTCCGCCTCGTGCTCCGAGAGGGCCGTGCCCACGATGCCGAAGCCCCCGTGATCCACCCTGTTGGCGCCCTCCGCGTCGGACGCGAAGAGGACGGGGGCGGCAGGGAGGTCCAGCACGCAGGTCATCATCGGGATCAGGTCACGCATGATCCGCACCTCTCGTCGCGCCGACGCCCACCAACGGACGACTCGACCTTGGCTCTTCTCCATCAGGTCGAACACCGCGGCGGGCACCGACATGAGCTCACGGCGGAGCAGAGCACCCGACAGCCACACGCCCACAAGGACCCGCAGTGGCAGGAGCTCCACATCCACCCAAGGCGTCTCGACGATCCACGTGAGCGCCGCCTCCAGGTAGCTGGCCTTGGCACTGGCCAGCCTCAGGCGGGGCGGGGAGCTCTGCAAGTCGTACCCCACGATCTTCGAGCCCTCCGTGATCACCTCCCGCTCGGTCACCACGAAACCTACCTCCTCCCAGGCGTCGGCTATCTTCTCCATCATCTTCTCAGCTCCGTCTCTAGCCGAGCCTCCGCGGGGGAGGGCCGTGGTGCTCAGGCCATTGTCCACGTGAACATACAGTGCCTGAAACCCAGGGCGCAGCCTCACGCTGCCACCCTGGCGGTCGAGCTCATTCAGCACGTAGAGGCCCTCCGTGTCCTTCTCGTACGTCCACTTCGAATGACGGGGCTTCTCCCGTCCTTTCCTGAGCCAACCTCCCGGCCCGCGTCCAGTGTTGAGCATCCTAATCGCCGTCCGCACGACGCACAGGGCGATCATGCGGCAAAGACAAGGAGGGTACGCCTGCAGACGCCGAGAACGGAAGATGCCCTCGGTGTTCTTCCCATACGCTTGCTCGTGGGCGTGCATGCCGTCGCAGCGCAGAGCTTGATCCCCGATTCCGTCCAGAGTTGAAGCCAACGTCGTCGGCTTCTGGGACGGTCCTCCGTACATGCATTGGTCGATGTTCGTCACCTCCACGCCGTGCCTCTCCAGCATACCCTTGACCGCGTCCAGGTCCCAGATGCTGGGAAAGGGCTTCTCTTGAGGGTCCCTGGGGTGCTCCATAAGGTATGCGCCCCCATACTGTTCGACTGTATCACACAACCCCAAGAAATCGAAACGCAATACGTTGGCTTCTGTCACTCGTGCCCTCTCTGGCTCCGTCAGGTCCGATCTTCCCAAGGGCTGGTCTCGAAATCTCAGCGGCCTTGGGCCGCCAGACCGGAAACGAGCATGACTCCACGTTGCACACGGAGGCGCTCCCAAGAGAATCTCAATCATACCTTCTTCCACCATCTCAAGCAGCATTGCAACCAGAGAGGGATCCGATAAATCCCAGCGGTAGTCGAAAGCCAAATCCACTCCAAAGTAGAACAAAGGAATTCCATACTCGTCAGCCAACTCCTCCACATAATGGTGTACGTTTAACCTCCGCCGACCTCCTGCGAACGCATGCAGCACCATCACAACTCGGTCCTTGTCCCGCTAAAGGAAGCGGGCCTTCTCGCGAAACTGTTCCGGCGAAAGTCCTGCTTCCTGCCGTCGCATGCCACGCTGCTTCTCCTTCTCATTGACCCACTCGACGTCCTCGATCACAGGTTCGTCAGGGAGGTCCGTACCGTGCTTCACTACCTGCTCACTCAGGGCCGCCGATCTCACCAGGGTGTGCCCGATGGCCTCGATGTTGATGCTCATAAGGATATGCACTGCATGTGACAGCCCCATGGGTAACCTCGTATAACAGGGACACACCAAATACCACTCCTGCAGCCTCTCACGCATGTCCTCCTCCAGTAGTGACCACACTGCGGCTGCTGGAATCGCTGGCGTCGCCATCCAAGACCACATCCTCTCTGGGAGGGCAACTGACGAAAAGGCGTTGCTCTCATCACATCTGGCCATGTGCAGATCCATCCCTGGCGCGCGCATGAGCGCGAGCACACCTCCACCTCCGAGTCCGTAGTCACCTCGCCGACGCACGTCGCTCCAGAGGTAGTTGGTCGGTACCGCCGTGATGAGCTTTCGCAACTTGTAACCGTCCTTCTTCAGTACTGCCGAGACTCCGTTGATCGCCTTCGCCTCGCTTCTCTCCTTGAGGACCCACAGCCCTGGAGGGATATCCTCCCGGTGTAAGTACTTGATCCACTGCTCCATCTGTCTTCCGAAGAACCCGAACTGCCTCTCGAGCTCCTCCACGTGCTGGGTGGTCTTTCCCTCCAACTCGATGACGTTCTCCTCCTTGCTGTAGTACAACGCCTCATCCTGGGGGAGCGCCTCGAGCAGAGGGACCACCTCCGTCGATGTAACCTCGTCTACTCTGTGAGCGATAAACTCCACGTGAACGTCCCTCTTGTGCACTCTCCTGTAGCCGATCTGATCCATCTTCAGAAGCTCACACGTCGATCGTACGCCTGTCGCTGGGTGTATCCGGCGAACGTGGAGCTGGCCCTGGGCGTGCTGTACTGCTCGCCGCTGGACATGCTCAACAGCAGAATCCTCCATCAGCTCGTTGCAAAACTTCTGCTGCAGTAGTGCGGTCTGGCGCTTCATAGATCCAGAATAGGTCGCATTCAAAGCTCCCAAGATCCGATTAGCCACCTCTCGCACCTCCTGCTTCCGTCTGAGTCGTTGTCGAAGCCGCCCTGACCGAACCCCCACTCGAGCAGGTCGGGGGACAAGTGGAACAGGTAGGACGGCTTGACCACTCTGCAAGGCGGACGCCACTCCCGAGAGAGCTGGGAACCCACAGTGGGTACGTATACCCTCCTCATCATTCGGCTTCTCCACTTTGACTCGCCACCGGTCCTTCACCAGGTACTTCCGCTGCCCTCGAGGGGCTCCAGGCGCCCATCTGCCCCGCGGCTCAGGGCAGGGGGGAGGGGGCAGCCGTCAGGCCGCCTCCCCACCTTTCTTGGGACCTCTTCCGCGACCACCTCCTTTGTCACCTCGATCTCCTTTGGCTACGGATCTCCGTCGTAGTTTAGCCGACACACGTTCAGCTCGCTGATGCTCCATCTTGCTGTGAGAGGTTGCCTCCGTGATAAGCCAACCTGGCGCGATGTCCAGCCCGCTGCCAGGGGCCGTGACCGCCCGCAGGCGAGCAGCTCCAACCTTATCGTGAGTCCTAGACTCGTACACGTACGCCGAGAGATGGCGCAAGGAGATCTCCACATTGTCATTCGTCGTCAACACCAACATCAGCTTCTGGTCGTACGAGCACTTGCCTAGCTCGAAGTCTAACGTCGACGCCACTGACCAACTGACCAGAGCCCCTGACATTGATGTCCTCCTCGATATGCCTGGAACTGCTGCTGCAACCAATGCCGTACACTAGTGCTCCCTGCCGCCCTGATGTTCTTGTAGATCTCAACTCCAGCTCGCTTGAAGTCGGGCGGCTGGGCATGGGCCCACGCGTCAACCTCGGCACCTCCAGAGGCGGCCGCTGGGCCGCCGAAGCTTCCGTCGAAGCTGCTGGACACACCGAGGCTCTCGAAACCCGTCAGCACCGTCTCCAACATCTTCGGGTCGGGTGGCGAACGCGTGCCTGGGCCCACATAGCCCCTGGCCACCAGAGCAGCACGGACAGCTGGGTCGAGGCGTCCTGTCTGCTCCATTCCCGCCACCGCCTGCCAGAACTGCTGTCCCCACCAAGGGTTAGAGCTTTCACCCGCGTGCAGCTTCAGGAGCATCTCCTTCAGCTGCGAGGCGCAGGCGGCGGCGGTCACTGAAGCCTGCAGCCCAGGCCCCCCAGGGCTCGTGGTGCGCATGCCCGCCAGGGGACAGCTCACCTGGGGGACCATGGGCGGGCCTGTGCTGGGCGCAGCTCCCGTCAACGAGACGGGGCCCGCGTCGTGCGCACCGAGCCCGAATGCGTGGAACGCCTCCATGGACGGGTCGGTCACTCCTGCCGGGGCGCCTGGCGCCGTCGCTCTTGCCAGCCCGGGCGGCGGGGCTGTAGGAGAGGGGAGTGGCGGCAGCGAGGGGGCCGCGGCCACCTCAGCGTGCTCTGTCGCGCCGCCGCTCGCCTCCCCCTCCAGGCGCAGCCGCTCCAGCTGGGCCCTCAGCGTTTCGACCTCATCCCTGCTGCCGCGCAGGGAGCTCCACCATTCTCGAACGCCACGGACGAGGCTCCACAGCAGCGCGACGAAGATAGTGCAAACGCCGAGCCCCAATCGCACCACGCTACCTCGTCCCGTCTCCGCGTTGAGGGACAGCCCTGCACACAGGCAGCCAGCGAGGCCGAGCGCTCGTGGGCCCAGCCAGCGAATGAAGCCAAGCAAGGCTCCCGACTCGGAGCCATCCGCATCGTTTGGATCCGAGCGCGGGGGAGGGGCCATCAGCGGGTCTCGGGCATCTGCTACCTTCCCTGGATGGTCAGCGCGCGATGGCCCCTCAGGCCGTCATCGCTCCGTTGACCCAGAATTGCTATGAGACAAGAGATGATGCAAGAGCTGATAGATCAGGCACTATACATTAATACCCATTTGCAAACTCTCATTCAGTCATATATATGTATACAGATATCAAATTTATGTGTATATATATTCCAGTATCCCCAGCAGCCCGTCCAGCCACGATGCCCCCGGTGAGCCCTCGAGACAAGGAAAGTCATAAGCAGATTTGACACAACGAGCGCCAAACATGCTGATACCTCAGGGAAGCCTCTTGGAGACGGTGTTGGGACGGTCTTGGGTTGTCTTGGGACCCGCTTGGGCCGTCTTGGGCCCTTGGTGGCCTCTTTGGGGTCCTCTTGGGCGTTCTGAAGCGCGAGAACGCGAGGGCAAGACGATCCTTCATACGCATTGTAGGGGAATCAAAGATGATTACCTCGTTTGGCTCTCTTGAGGCCCCTCTTGGGCCCCCTTTGGGGCCCTCTTGGGCCCCTCTTGAGGCCCTCTTGGGTCGACTTGGGAGACTCTTGGACAGGGTCTGGCTCGATTCGGCCATCCTGGATCCGTTTTGGGCCGCGGCGGGGTCCAATTGGACCGTCTAGGGGCCCTTTTTGGCTGGCTTGTCACACCCAGGCTTCAGAAATACACCCGTGAGTTGGGGGCTTGGGTCCCGTAAGGATCGTTCTGAATCTTCAATACAAAGAACCCGAAGTGACCTGAGGACACCACTCAGCGCCTACGCCACGACGGGTCATGCAGCCGTATGTATATTCTCGATATGCATACATGTGCATAATTGTTATCCAGTATGTTCGTGTATCCTATATACATATACATACATACATGCACATGTTTGCATCGAAGGACTTGCCCTAGCAGATAAGGTGAAGAACGTGACTATCCGTGGCACGTGGTTCAACGGGAAGACGGTGCACATCCGCCCCCACACTCGGGACCGGGCTGGGTCGAACCAGGTTGGGGGCGAGACTCTCACGAATTTCTCGCTGCAGGTGTCCGAGCAGCAGGTGTCCAAGCAGCAGTGGAGGTCCTTCTCGCGCGAAGAGGCGGGTGCCTCAGCCGAGACGCCTCCTGTAGCATAGGCGTATGGGATTGGGAGCGAGAGTAGGAGCGGGAGTACGTGGGTGGATTAGAGATGAGTGGTTACAGTAGGAGGTTGAGCGCTCATGAGCAGCAGTAGTGGAGGAGCTGTAGCAGAAGCAAGACGACTAGAATTGTGAGAAGGAACTGAAGGCGTTTCGGCCAGACTCGAGGCCGCTGCGGCCCGCACGCCCCCAGCTTTCCTGGAGCAGCCCCTTCCGCCCCAACCCGTTAGTCCAATACTGGGGCACAGCTCGGTACCGCGCCCAGCCCCCCACCCCCACTCCCCAGACCCACGACATCACGATTTGTTCATGACGTCGATCCCCTGAGGTCTCGACCCATTCCCCCGAACCGGTTTTTCATCCTGGGTCCTTGTGTTGACGGTCCCGAGGCTTGGTGAGGCCCCCCAGAGTCCGAAAATTGCCAGAAACCTCCCGTCATCATTTTATCCTGACTCGAAGGGGCAAGGGTCCCCCCCGCGGCCCACGCGCCCCCCTCGCCCCCACCCCGAGCCCAGCATATCCTCCGCGCCTCCTACGCGCCAGCCACGTCACCACGGCACGGCACCGCCTCATTCGAGTAGGGGGTCGACTGCAGACTTGAATTACCCCAGAATTGGCTTGTTGGATGGACCTGCGAAAAATACGTCGCATTCTCCGTAGATCGATGAACATTCGACGTATTTCCTTGCAGGTGACGAACAAATCAATTCTGTGGTAAATCAATTCTGCAGTCGGTCCCCTATGCGAATGCCCGCCTCCCAGCCCCGCGCATCCCCCAGCCGTCCACGAGCCCGGTCCGCCGCGACCCGCCCGCCGGCACGCGCGGCAACTCGCTGGCGCTACCGCCGCCTTTCTTCTTCCAGTCATGTGTCCCCCAAGACCCCCCCTCGCCCCCCCCACCCCTTTGTTATGCGCGACGTTCGAACTCCGCGCGAGAGGGGCGGCAGAAGGGGGATGGTGGACGGGGGGGCTGATGGAGCAGAAGGGGAGACCGAAAGGAGAGGCAGAGCGAATGGGATACCGGGAGGTTCCCTATGGGGGAGAGGGGGGGGCAAGAGCTGCGTGCCTCTTCAGAACTCGACTCTCCTGTCGAGAGCGCGCCGATGCCAGCGGTCGGGGCACACCGCTGGCTGCTCGCCGCCCCTCCCGTCGGTGTCGCGGCGACGCGCCGTACATCGGCGCCTCGCGGCCGCACACCGCTGCTAACGAGGCCGGCTCGCTCATCAGCGAGGCCTCGACCGAGCAGGTCGTGGCCAGGTTCGTCATGAGGGAGGAGTTTGGGGAGCGCCTGGAGGGCCAGGCCGCCTCCCCACTTCGCCAGAGGAGGAACATATTACCGCTTTTCTCTCCTCGCTGCCACGGCTATAGTCGCCTCGAAGTCCTAGTCGGAACGCGCTCTCGGAGAGGTCCAGTAGGTAGAGGTATCTTCCCCCCCCGCCCCCACACTTCTGTCCCTCAGTGGAAAAGTCAGCAGTTCTAAACCGACCCCTCCTGCACACCTCCGAGGCGCCCGAGAGGCGGTGGGGCAGTCGAGGAAGAGGGCTGTTTGCCAGCGCCCGACCCCGCCCCGGGCGATCGGAATCGTTTCCCCCCTCCTCCCTCCTGCCTCGCTCACTCGTCTCGTCCCTCCCTTCTCATCTTGTATCCTCCCTTCTCGTCGCTGCTTTACCAGTCTGACTCTGCTTTAAGATGAAGGCCCAGTACTTGCCAACGCCAGCCTATTGAGCTCGGCGGCGGAGGAGAGGGAAACTCGGTCAAGAATAGAAGGGAGAAGGGGGGGAACGAGCTGGGAAGATCTGGTTCAACCGTACGCCACACCATCCAGCGATGTCAGACCCACCGTTCGCGTTGGAAAGTCGTCATGTACAGGCGACCCCAATGGGTAGATAACCCCGATGTAAGAAGGTTCAGCCTAAGATGTACCATCATCCTACGCCTTTCACATTCACATAAAGCCAACAACTAGTGTCCCTTTCAGCATGCGAGAGATAGAGAGAAAGAGAGAGAGAGATGGAGTGGCAAGGGGGCGGAGCCTACAGGCGTGGGACAAGCGAGACTAGTGCCCGATGCTGATCGAACGATTTTGGCAAATCTGCGATTTCGAGCGATAGCCGAAGGAGGGGAACGGGAGGTGGAGGGAGTTACGAGGGCCTCGCCCAAAGGCTATTTCAGGGGTGCGGGTGCGCCCAGTCCCCACGAGTCGCCAGCGGTGGGGAAACGAGTGGCCGCTACTTTATCTCGATTTCCCGCACGCTCCTCACCTCCAGCGGATGCACACCGGGTACAAGGATAATCCTTGCAACGGCCGCTACTCTAGATTTTGGTCCTGGATCCGATCCCTGGCCCTGGCTCACTGCTTACGTCTCCCGATCCTGTAATCAAAAGGCCATCTTCACCACGGCATCTTTTCGCGCGTAGACCCCGCGGAAGCGATCCGCGCGGAATGTTAGGTCGCGTGTCTCGGAATCTTGGAGTCCCCGTTGCTGGCTCCAGCTCGGGCGACCTCCTGCACGATCTGCCTGGCCGCCGCCAGGAAGACAAGACATGTGTTGTCACCATGTGCTCTAGGCACTTCTCCCTTGACTTGGCTCCCCTCGTCGTGTATCTCCTCGCTTGGGACGTTCTGGCGAGCGAGTAGACGTGCGCCTCTGACACCTGCGGCCTGCAGCACCCACATTTGGAAGCTGTTGTCCAGGACGGTCCGCCCGATTTCCTGCACGAGCTGGGCAATCGGGGCTCGAATCCACCTTGTCCTCGGGACTTTCTCGACGCGTCCAACTGCAAACCCGTTCGGGCAGCCCGCCGTTGGTGGGCCTCCTCCTGCGCGAGGCTCCTCCTCCACGACCTCGCCACTGGCTGGGGGAAAAAGCACCTGACGCCGAGTCCTGCTCCAACCGATCTTCATCCCCATCCCCATCACGAGCCCCACCACTCCACCACCCCAGTTGGGCATATACCCCTCGAAATTCGAAGCCCGAAGGGAACAGCCTATATCCACATCCAGGGGGGTAAATCGGCCAGTGGTGGGGATAGGGATCGGTTAAACGATGGTCAACCCGAGGACCCACGGCGGGTTGTTTGATGGCAATTTCTCTGCGCGGCGTTCGGTCGAGCGCCCGCTCGTCTCCACCAGCATCTGGTTGTTGAGGCGGTAGCACTTCCCAAGGTGGTAGCGGCGCAAGTGGCGCTCGGTGCTGGAGAAGGTGAACTTGTAAACCGAATCCGCCTTTCGGGCACAACGGCCTCAGGCGGAATAGCGATGGGCGAATGAACAACGTCGTGGCTATGGTTTTCGAACCTCATGGTGATGGGCAGAGCGACGTGTACCAATGTGTCCATGCATTCGACGATCTGGTTGGTGACAGACGTACGCATGACAGACCGACGGGAGCACGCCGCCTCGCAGTTACATATGTTCAATACCCTGCTCTCGGACTTATTTAGCTTTCGTGGAGCTCGCGTTGCGGACCCGTCCTTGTAGCAGGTCCACGCGCTCCAGCTGGCGGTGGCGTAGCTGCTCATTATGCTCTGGCCCACAGCACGCTATGGCCGAGTGCCAGAGAGCGGATCCGATGCCCATTGATTGAAAAGCGTTGTGGTATTAAACTGCTCGTGCGTCCAGCAGCATCGGACCGACTGCCCTTAGGAATATGGCCGTTGTCACTGCCATCGGGAAGACCCCCATCCATAGGAAGACGGCCAGTACTTTCGCCATCAGGTGAGCGTCCCACGAGAGCATCACCCCTGCGCAAGCAGTGATCTTGCAGCATAGATCTGGGTGAAGGTGTTGGCCCAAGAACAGCTCGGACCAGATTGCGTCGTGATCGCTTCGTCATCATGGTGACCGCTGTGCGAGCCGGATCAGACAATGGATCGTGCAAGGGACCCAGGGGTGAGTTGGGCGCAAGAGTACCTACATATCAGCATAATTTCGAATGCCAGCGTCTTACGTCAGCAACTCAGAGAACATACCGCCTTCTCATGCAGTTGCAAAGGGAGCGCATCCATTTTCGATGCGTGCTTCGGAGTGTTTCTGGCGGGACAGCACGCTTCCAATATCGCGCATCCCAGCCCAATGATGCACAGCATCGCCGGCACCGCGCATTCAGAGCAGGGGAAGAAGAGCGCGATTGCAGAAACAGTTGGCGCCCAAACTGGAGCTTGATGTTACCCAGCTTTCGTTACACGGACAATATGTGCAGAACGCAGTCGACGCCGTCGCCAAAATTCTTGGCGCCACGAGGCACACGCAGACGATTCTGAAGGAAATTTGACCATCTGCAACAAAACATCGGAGTCTACTAGCAAGCGTTCGAAGTGACAGGGCTGCCGCTGCCTACAATGGATGTCCTGTGGGAACGAGGACATCTACGAACAGTGTGGGTTGATCACGCTCCGCGAGGGCATCGCGGTCGTGCTGCAGCGCTTCTACGACGAGGGGTCGAAGTACACGAGCACGGGCGCGGGCCGCCAGGCGTAAAGCAGAACACCAGAAAACCAACACAGATAAACAGCAGAGTTTTTTTGTTCGCGGGTTCCCCCCCCAGGAAACCTCAGATAAAAAACGAACAACAACAGAAAAAAACACCAAATTTCCAGGCGGGGCTCCCGGGCCCCCCCGACAAACCATTGAACAAAAAATCCAATCGGGTTTTTTCGTCTTTTTCTGAAGGGTTTTCTTGTGGTTTTCGGTGGTTTGGGGGTGGATCCGGTTTTAAAAACCGCCGAAGCAGAATTAACAATTCGGTGTTTTTTCGGGGGTTTCCGGGGAGGATTCCAGGGAACTCCCACACCAGTCTCGGACGACGACAACCAGAGCAAATTCATGGTGCACCAGCGGTGCTGTGGTACACTTTCCCTTCCCAAGTCTCCGCCTCATAGTTTGCTACAAGTGTTCATGTATGACGAGCGCCCGTTGGGCCTGCCACTCAGGCAAGGCCCCGTGCTGTAAAGCATCCACCCTCCACCCTCCGAGCTGAACAAAAACGTGAGGAGGCGGGGTGGCAAAGTTCCAGACGGTGTCTAGCGATTGCCCAAGTTTGAAAAGGATCGACCCTCCATTTGTGCATGTGTTACACAACGTGCAACATTTGGGCATCAAGTCTAAAGCGAAGCCCCAACTCGAAAAGGAACCGCCCTCACATAATTTGAGGAGTTGTTAAGGGAGAGCCCGTATCCTGACAGCGAGCTGGCCTTCATCCGTCCAGCTGTTGAAATTGCGAAGACGAATGCGAATGGCGCTTCGGCGAGGGCCCCGTTTTGAACATGAGTTGGCCTCGCTTGGAGTTGTTGGGTGTTTAGAAACAGCTGCACACGGCGCTGAAACAAGAACTGGATTTTTGAAACGATCCCCCATTCCATCCTCTGACCCTTGGCCGCATTCAAGACGAATGCGGGCGGCACTACGGCAAGAACTGCATTTTCGAACCACTGGCCAACCATCCGTGCAACTCTCGGAGAATTAGGATTCAAAGGAATTCTCAAGCGAAACGACTGGCAGGGGGAGGTACTTGTGAGGAAGTTGCACGGAGGATGTGGAAAGAGCACGAAGGAGGAAAAGGAGGAGATGGGGAGGAGGAAAGGGGCAAGGAAAGAACCCCCTTCTTCCTTTCCTTCCTCGCGAGCGAATGACATCCGTATCCGCAGCCTCTCGAGCCGGGTGCGTGGGCCGCGACCCCGCGGATACTGGGCGTTTTTGTCGCAGATTCCCCGCAAGGGATGTATCCGTGCGACCGCGGATCCGTGGGATCGCGCCCAGGAATCCAGATTGCGAGGGCGCGGGTCCAGACCCCCGACATCATGTTTTTTTGCATAACGTTGACCCCCAGAGGTCTCGACCCATTCCTGGGGACTGGCTTTTCATCCCGAGTCGTTTTTTTTGACGGTCCCGAGGCCCAGTAAGGGCCCCCGTAGGCCGAACATATACGAGCATCTTACGTCATGATTTATCAATCGCTTCGCTCATTCCGCGGCCCCATTCCGCATCAATGTGGCTGCGTGGTGGTGTGCTCGTGCCCAGGGGGAACGGTAGGGCAGGCAGGACTGTCTTCGAGGAGATCTTTGGAGATATGGCTCGCACTTTGTCGAAGAGAGCTGCCTCAGAGATCGCCAAGATCGCCCAAGAAGCTCCAGCAGAGTCCAGCAGAGTTTCGAGACGTACATGGGTTGTGGGTCAAAGTCCTCCTGGATGCTTCTTGGGGTCTTTTCGGAGGGAACCTCTGGGTAGCAGTTTTGAGTCTCGTGGGAGCCTCTTTGGGGCTTCTTGGGGGCCTCGGCTTCCTGGGGGCCTGTTGGGAGTCTTGGGGGCCTCTTTGGGGGCCTCTTGGGGGCTCTTGTGGCCTCTTGCGGGGCTCTTGGGGGCCTCTGGGTGCTTCCTGGGCGCCTCTTGGGGCCGAGAGCTCGAAATGTCCGTTCGGGTTGCGGGGCTCTTGGGGGCCTCTGGGGGCTTCCTGGGCGCCTCTTGGGGCCGAGAGCTCGAAATGTCCGTTCGGGTCCCCCGTCTGGGCCCGCTCTTGGAGCCGTCTTGGGAGCCTCTTCGGCCATCTTGGAGGCCTCTGGGGCTGTCTTGGGGTCCTCTGTGGCCGTTTTGGGTGCTCTTGGAGGCCTCTTGGGCCGTGTTGGGGCGATCCTGGAAGCCTCTTGGGCCGTCTAGACGCGCCGGCAAGCCGAAAAGTCGAGAACGCTAAAGACTTTCGAAAACTAAAGGGAAATCATTAATTTCTGGCTCTGTGGGCCCTCATGGGAAGTGACTTGGAGGCTTCTTGGGGCGTCTTGAAGGTCTGGAGCCCATCTTTGGCGTCTTGGATCGCTCTTGGACCGTCTCGGACCATGTTGGGCTCTCTTGGAGGCCACTGGAAGCGCTCCTGGAGCGCTCTTGGGAGCCTGCTGGGACTTGGCCGGGACCTGGCCGGGACTTGCGGGGATACTTTTCGTCCGGGGACCTCCAGGGGCGGCCCCGCGCGCGCGAACCAGAGATATTGTTGACCAGTTGCCAGATTAGCACGCCCTTGGCCCGTTGGGCTGGCGAATTGTAGCGCTCTTCGCTGGAGAATGGAGGTTCGTTGAAGCAGAGGGGGGAGTGTTTGAGGTTCGTTGAAGCAGAGGGGGGAGGGGGAGGAGGGGGAAGAGGGGAAGAGAAGGAGGAAGCGGAGGAGGGTGAGGGCTTGGAGGAGGAGGAAGAGGGGAGGGTAAGGAGGAAGAGGAGGCCTTTCGATTCCTGTCGTGATGATTCATTATGGCGCTTTTCGTCCAAGGAGTAAGAGTCGTTGGCGCAAAGGGGGGAGAAGGAGGAGAGGGAAGAAAGAAAGAAGAGTTTGTGAGACGATAGGAGGCCTCTCGGGGGCCTCTTGGCGGAGCGCTTGTCGTTCGAGGATTGAGAGTCGTTGACGCAGAGGGGGGGAAGGAGGAGAGGGAAGAAAGAAGGAAGGGTTAGTGAAACGATAGGCGGGCTCTCGCGGGCCTCTTGGCGGTATTTCTGAGCCTCCTGCGGCGTCGCGGGGGCCTCTAGGGGTGCTTTTGGGGGTCTGTTGGGGCCTCTCAGGGACCTCTTGGGAGCTTCTTGGGGTTTTCTGGAGGCCTCCAGGGGACCTCTCTGCGCCTCGAGCTATACAGGTCCGTTCGGGTCCCTCGTCTTGGCCCGCTCTTGGAGTCGTCTTGGGAGCCTCTTCGGCCATCTTGGAAGCCTCTGGAGCTGTCTAGGGGCCATCTGGGGCCGTTATGGGCGCTCTTGGAGGGCTATGACCGTGTTGGGGCGGTCCTGGAAGCTTCTAGGGCCGCCCTGGAGCGCCAGTAAGTACCCAAGGCGAAAACGGCAAAAACCTTCAAACAGTAGGACAACCGCTCATTTCTGCCTCTGTGGGCCCTCTGGGAAGGTCTCTTGGGGCTTTCTTGGTGCCTCTTGGGAGCTTCTTGGGGGCCTCTTGGGGCCTCCAGGTTACCTCTCTGCGCCGAGAGCTCGACATGTCCTCTCGGGTCCCTCGTTTGGGCCCGCTCTTGGAGCCGTCTTGGGAGCCTCTTCGGCCATCTTGGGGCTGTCCAGGGGCCCTCTGGGGCCGTCGTGGGCGCTCTTGGAAGCCTCTTGGGCCAGGTTGGGGCGATCCTGACAACCTCTTGAGCCGTCTTGGAAGCGCCAGAAAGCTCCCGCGGCGATAACGCCAAACACCTTCGAAAGCTGGAGGGAAATCACAAATTTCTCTCTTGGGGGTCTCTTGGGGCCTCTCGGGGGCCTCTTGGGGGCTTCTTACGGACCTCTTCGGGCCTTCAGGGGATCTCTCTGCGCCTCGAGCTCGACAGGTCCGTTCGGGTCCCTCGTCTTGGCCCGCTCTTGGAGTCGTCTTGGGTGCTTCTTCAACTATCTTGGAAGCCTCTTGGGCTGTCTAGGGGCTCTCTGCGGCCGTTGTGGGAGTTCGTGGAGGGCTATTGGAGGCGCTCTTGGAGGCCTCTTGAGCCATGTTGGGGCGATCCTGGAAGCTTCTGGGCCGTCTTGGAGCGCCGGTAAGCTCCCAAGGCTCCCTAAGAACTCGTAGAACAATCACAAATGTCTGCCTTTGTGGGGCCTCTTGGGAAGTGACTTGGAGGCCTCTTGGGGCGTCTTGCGGATGCTTTGGGTTGTGTGGAGCCCACCTTTGTCGTCTATCGCTCTTGGTGCGTCTCGGACCATGTTGAGCTCTCTTGGAGGCCACTGGAAGCGCTCTTGGAGCGCTCTTGGGAGCCTGCTGGGGCCTGGCCGTGACCTGCCCGGGACCTGGCCGGGATTTGGCCAGGACGTGCGGGGATACTTTTCGTCTGGGGACCCCCCCAGGGGCGGCCCCGCGCGCGTAGTAGGATATTGTTAACCACTCACTGGAGATCTTATCACGTCCTTGGCCCGTTTGGTTGGCGAATTCAAACATCTTACGTTATGAGTTATTCCTGGTCCGAATGGGGTCTGGTGATATGTTCGCCTCTCGTGACTACCATCGCTTCGTCTCTCGCGGGCGGCTCCTCGCCGCGCTCCTCGCGGCCGCCGGCCGCTGAGCAGGCGCTGGAGTTCCGCATGGGCGAGGCTGCGGAGGCCTGGGCCATCGGTCGTCGACGCCATCATCCTCCTCCTCTTCCTCCTCCTCCTGGTTCCTGGTTCCTGGTGGCTGGAACGATTCACAATCGCAGCCTCCCTCCTCCTCCTCCTCCTCCTCCTCCTCCTCGTGCTCCTCTCATTTTCTTCCTCCTTCCCCAAACTACTTGGATTCGTCGTCGTCCTCCTCCTCCTCCTCCTCCTCCTCCTCCTCCTCTGCATCCTCCTCCTCCCTCTCCTCTTCCTCCTCCTCCTTCCTCTCGTGTTCCTCCTCCTCCTCCTCCTCCTCCTCCTCCTCCTCGCTCAGCGGACCCCAGCCAGCAGGATGCGCCGCGACACGGCCACCTGCGACGTGCGCGGCGCAGGGGGATCCTCCCCGCACTGACGGCAGACACGGTGCTGCCCGTTGGCACGCATGAGCCAGCGCCGTGCGGCAAGGGCTTCCGTTGCTGCCGTTGCTTCCGCGTCGCCAGGACGCGTGATGGCTACACGCCTGCGGCGTGCAGCCCAGGCGGTGGCCACCGCGTTTGGTGCGTGGGCCCTTTTCTCTTTTGCGCGAGTTGCGGAGCACGCTCGAGCGAGAATGCTCAGTTCCTCGCGCGGCCTTGCCTCGGGGTGGTCCCCCCGCAGACGCGGCCCCGCCTGGGCCGCCTGCGGGAGGGCAAATACCCGCGCACTTGTCTGCCCCTGCCCTTGGCCAGCGGCCAGGTTAGGCCACGGCCGTTCGCGGACTACGTCCTCGACAGCCTGGTCGGCGACCTGGTTGTCGTGGACGAGGATGCGGACGGTGTGTAGGCCCCTGGCTGCGCCTACTGGCACTCCCCAGTGTGCCAATGGGGAGGTGCTCGGGCTCATTTCCCCACGGTCGGGCTTGCGCCCGAGCCGCCTGGCTGCGCTTGCACGCTTGGCGCCGCGCCTGATGAACAACTCCTCCTCGTCCTCCTCCTCCTCCTCCTCCTCCTCCTTCGCCTTTCATTTCCTCATTCGCATGGTAGGACTCTAGATGTTGCCCCTCGAATGGTCTCCTTCTCCTGCCTTCTTTTAGCAGCAGAACTGTCATCACATCGTCGGCGTCGACAGGCGTCCCGAATGTCCGCAAGAATGTTGCGGAAGCCGGGGCGGCGCGCGCAGGCAGGAGCGGGAGTACAAAGGAGAGTTGGGCAATGATGTCGTCATCGTTCCGGGGGCCCTTTTACACACATTTGGGACTATTCGTCATCGGTTCTCCGGGACATGACCCTCAACGGTACACGCGCGTTCCTTGTTTTTGTTGGCAGACCTCGATCCCTATGCGCACTCCTCTTGGCGATTGCGCAGCAGGCAGTGCTCAGCAAAGTGACGTTACGATTGACGACGAGTTCTTTCGCCACAACATGGCGGACTGCTCCGAGTGCCAGCACTTTAATCACACAACAGACGACCTGACCCAATACGCTGATGAGGAGGAGCACGCCTAGGAGGGACAGATACCCACGACGGCTCCGAGGATCACTACCAGAACATCGCCGCTGGTGGGCACCAGGAGTGTCAGTCCTACTCGACACCTGGAGGGGTCTCCATCTGGATGAAAGGCCATCGGAATGGGCATGGTCGACGCTATCAGCTGCGTCGCCTGCATAGACGCGGGCGGTGGCAATTGCGGCAACACGCAGCATTTCCGCACTTGGCGGCCCGATCGTCAGGCTCGTGTGCCCTTTCAGCGCTGGGCGCGGGAGGTGGCGAGTTGGTCGCTGGTGAATTCGGATCTCGACGAGTTTCGCCTAGCGGCCAACTTTCTTCTCGCTCAACCGGCATGGCTCGCGCGCGCGTGGACAAGTGGCCGCAAGTTGTCCTCGTCCAAGGTGGCCCGACCAACGGCATGCCAGAGCCGCCAATGACCCACCTCACGCACAGCTCGGCCACAAGGCGGGGCCAGCTTAGAGAGGAGGAACTGCCGCCGGAGCGCATCGACACCCTCGTCACCAGGTTCGGCATCCTCCGCAACAGGGCGCAGCAGGGTGGTCAGTTCGTGATCGGCTACTAGGGCACCAGTCACCTCTTGCTGCGTGCGGTTGGCGCGTGGAACATCCAGTTCACCATGATCCTGCGGCGCAATGGCGTAGCCTACCCGACAGACGCGCCACAGCTGGCGCACATGATGGGCCAGCTTCGCAGATTTACACAAAAGATCGAAGGCTCGCCAGGCAACCTCGCTTCGCCTGCGAATTCGCCCCTGCGCCAGGCGTTTCTCGCGGGCGCGCACGCGCGCGCGATCATAATCAGAACGCGCATGGCTCCGGGGCCGGACCGAGCTGGGATGGCATCCATGGGCCGTTGAGCCTTAGGAGCAGCACCGAGTCCACCTTCAACGCCATCAGCCGGCAACGCCAGCACACTGGCAGCACCGCAGGCGGCATATCAAACAGCAGGTTTCAAATCTGGCACAGGCCCCGACGCCATCAGCTCCTTCGGCGAGGAAATCGCAGCCGACGACCGGGAACTGCGCGAAGCCCGCGTGGAGACGCGCGGCGCGTACTTCTTCTTTTCTGTTTCGGGCCGTGGGCGCGCCGCGCCCCGGCGGCGCCGACTCAGCGACTGCGAGCCCGCGCGCCGCGCGCGGACGGTCATCCAACGCAAGGGCATGGGCCATGGAGAAGGCTGCCGCGCCTGCCTAGCCAGCTCAACCGACGACCTCCGCGAAACCTTCGCCGGCTTCGGGGGGGGCAGGGGCATGGGGAACGGCAAGCATCGGACCGGCGGAGGGGAACTTGGCCGACAGGGCAACCCGCTGGCCCAGACGGGGCACGCCCAAGCGCCACGAGGCAAGGAGTGCGACTCAGAGGAGCGCCCCGTGCGCGACTGCCCCCGTCGGCGCCGGCAAAGGCGCGCCCTCTTCCTTGGCGCCCCTGCCCCGGCGGCGCCGCCGCCGCCCGCGACGGCGCCCTCGCCGCTCGCGCGCCTGGGGCGCCACGGAGCACCTGCACTAGCCTCTCCATTAGCCGCGCCAGGTGCTGATTCGGTCTGGATGAAAAGGGGAACCCGCGGGATGTCCGAACGAGTGGTTCTGGGGCTGGATGAACGCGGACGCGCCACCAATGGCAAGCAGGACGCGCTGACCCACGCGCGCGCATGCGACCCAGAACCGCCAGGAGCGTAGAGCGGCGCGCGCGACCGCCCCCGTCGTCCGATGCCGACTTGGCTCATGCATCAGGTGGGCCGGCCGCGGGCAGGGTCGAACAAGCGGGGATGTGTTCTGCAGTTTTGGTGCGGCGGGCATGTCTGGTGACGCCGCCGCGGGTTGGCGTTGCCCAGGCGCTAGACGCACGCAGCAGCGGCGCGGCTGAATGCCGAAGCGCGCGCGTGCAACAGTGCACATGTTGAGTCCAGCATAACGGCGCGGCAGAGCGGGAACGTCGATCGTCAGAACTCCGAGCTGGCATGGCGGCGTCTTCGGGTTGCGCAACACTGAGGCGCTCGCAGCGCCATCGCCTTCAACTACCGGGAGTTCACTGCGCCTGCGGACTCCTTGGCGAACGAAGCGATCAATACTGGGCGTGGCAGCGCTGTTCTGCGGCGCCTGATTTAATGAGTGCATGCCCGGCAGTGGCTGCTTCAATGAAGTACATCATCTGCTTTTACTTATGTGCGACTCTGTCCTAGAGCATGCGCACTGCCAGTTCGCGTCGGCCGGGCTGGCCGCGACGGCGGCGGGCGCGTTTTTGCTCCAGAAGCGACGGGACTGATTTGACTGGCGAAGGGCCCATCATTTGCATCGCCCGACGGGAGAAATGTTGGCCTCTACGCGACCCGCGAGCGGCATGCGGGGCACGCGCGAGGGCCCTGAAGTCGGGGGGCGGTTTGGGGGGGGCATCTGGCGATGGGGGGTTCCGAACGCGAGTTCGCGCCCGTCTTGGAAGTCAGTGGGGCCGTGGGGCCGTCTCGTGGGCCTCTCGGGCCGCCTTGCCGGCGCTTTGGGGGCCTCCGTTGTTAGCTATATGCATTCAGTCCTGTGCTCTACCTGCCCGAGGCCCTTCTTTGTTGTGGCGTTGGCTCAAGGGCGGGAGCTTCATACTTTTAACTTTGTTTGGCGTGGCCCAGGGAGCCGCGCCTTTCTGCGCGGCTAGCGAGGCCGTGGTGACTGCTACATTATAAGATTCATCTTGCTGTGGTGAGAGATATGTCATCGTCGGAACTTCCTGATATTGTTGCTGCGCCGATTCCGCCAACATGGCAGCGGAGCCATCGTGGAGACCCACAATCAAGTCGACCGCTGGGTGTGAGACTAATGAGCAGGGAGTGCCGACCTGGAGTGGAGGTCCACTGACGTTCGAGAGTTATGAGAATGCCGTTCTTTGGTACCGAGCTGGCTTGAAGGAGAATGAGAGGAACCTCACCGTGGCTCGTCTGTGGACTGCGCTACGGGGTGCTGCGAAAGAGGCCGTGAAAGATATGAGACCGAACGATTTCGTGGCAGGAGGTATAGAATCGTTGCTCAAACACTTGAGAGAAGGTCCTCTAGGTAAGACGCCAATCCCAGACGCGTACCATAAGATCCGCAACTACGATCAAGTGGTTTGCCGACCCGGCGAGGTGATTGGCGAGTTTGTGATTCGAGAAGACAATTTGTTCAGAGACATGCGGTCGGCCTTGAAGCGACTACGTTCAGTCCGACTGCGACGAGAAGCAGCTCAGGCGAGTGCACGAACCGGGCGAACGGCGACGTCTACCGTCAAGGAGCCGACGACCGAGGAGTTCGAAGAAGCGGCCGAGATCGAGGAAGACGCCGAGGCTGTAGACGCAAGAGAGAAGAAGTCGGTGATGTCGGCCAAGTCAGGAGCTTCCGTGGCCAAGTCTGAGACCGACGCGAGTTTCTTCGAGGCAGAGCTCCGTGGGTACAGGCTCCTGCACAACGCTCGCCTGAGTAGAGAAGAACGCCAAATGATCCTGGCAGGCACTCAGAACGACACTCGATGCGAATCCATCGTCACGCAGCTTCGCGCCTCTTGGGATGATCGAGACTT